AGTGAATTGGTGGGTTTTTGTTAAATGTGAGCCAAAATCATCACATTTAAAAGAACCAAAGACTTAAACTACTTCAGTCTGTGTGCATTGAATTAATTTAATACACGAGTTTCACAATTTGAGTTGAATTACTGAAATAAATGAACTTTTCCATGACATTCTAATTTATTGAGATGCACCTGTATATATATATATGTCCAATATATATCCATCTATATACAGTATATATATATGTGCAGTATACTACTGCGGCTTGTTTCCATTGTGTTTTGCTAATTTCATTGTGTTGCGGCTTTTTTTTTTTATTTTGTGCTAATTTCATTGTGTTGCACTTGTTTCTGTTGTGTTGTGTAATTTCATTGTGTTGCGGCTTGTTTCTGTTGTGTTGTGCTAATTTCATTGTGCTGCAGCTTGTTTCCATTGTGCTGTGGTTTGTTTCTGTTTTTTTGTACTAATTTCATTGTGTTGCGGCTTGTTTCCATTGTGTTTTGCTAATTTAATTGTGTTGCGTCTTGTTTCCGTTGTGTTGCACTAATTTCATTGTGTTGCGGCTTGTTTCCATTGTGTTGTGCTAATTGCATTGTGTTGCGGCTTGTTTCCGTTATTTTGTGGAGATTTCATTGTGTTGTACACTACTGGGCCACTGTAGATATAAACTCACAATTGTGAGATCAAATTACACTTTATTAAAAAAAAATGATAATAATTTATTCCATGGGGGGGGGGAGTTTTGTGAAAGAATTGCGAGACAAACTTAGAATTAAGGGAAAAAATGGCAGTGTTTACTATTGTCATTTTGCATTATTGACACTTTTTTCCTAATTAATGCTGTTCAGTTGCTTTGTCACAATCTGTATTGTTAAAAGCGCTATATAAATAAAGGTGACTTGACTTGTGCTAATTTCATTGTGTTGCGTCTTGTTTCCGTTATTTTGTGGAGATTTCATTGTGTTGTACACTACTGGGCCACTGTAGATATAAACTCACAATTGTGAGATAAAATTACACTTTATTAAAAAAAAATGATAATAATTTATTCCATGGGGGGGGGGAGTTTTGTGAAAGAATTGCGAGACAAACTTAGAATTAAGGGAAAAAATGGCAAAACTGAGATATAAACTGATTTTATATATCGCAATTCTATATTCAGTTTTTTTAGGAATTAGGAGAAACAACAGTAAAATTAATTTATTAAAAATAATGTTAATTCTGGTAATTATATTATTATCTTAATTATATTAAGTATAATAATTCTTATTATATAAATTATATAATGGAATTTGAAGTTGAGAACCACCGTTAATTATATATATATATATATATATATGTGCAGTATACTATACGAGTCGATGAGCGGATGTGATTGCGATTAGTTTAATATTGAATGAGTAAATTGTTGTACTTGGTTCTGTGTATAATGCTGAGTCGTTCGCTAGGCTGGATCAGCTGGCCGTTCTTGTACCAGCGGCCCGGGACGTTTCCAGGGTAAATCTCACAGTTCAATTTAAGAGGTTGACCCAACAACACTGTCACACTCTGTAGATCCATTAAAATCTTCAGAGGCTTCACTGAATCATCCAGTGGCAGGTAACAGGAAACAAAAGAAAAAGACACAAATTAATAAACAGGAGAGAAAGGGTGAAATAAAGACGCTTTTGTTTTTAATTCAAATAGCTTTAGAAAGTTCCTTAAGGCAAATGGGTTACACTTTACTTGAAGGGGTGTGCATAAGACTGACATGACACCTTCATAATCATGACATGACACCTACATAATCATGACATGACACATGTCATGAATATGAAGGTTTTTTATGCATATTTATGACAACTGTCATTAAGTGTCATTCGCTCAGTTATGTAATTTATTATGCAAAGATGACATTGTTTGAGATGTCTTTGTTATGGGCTATGGTTAGGGATAAGGGTAGGGGTAGGGTTAGGTCAAATAATGTCATATTTGCATTAAAAATGACATAACTGAGCGAATGACACTTAATGACAGTTGTCATAAACATGCATAAAACCTCCTTTATATTCATGACATGTGTCATGTCATGATTATGAAGGTGTCATGTCAGTCTTATGCACACCCCTTCAAGTAAAGTGTTACCGGCAAATGTTACCCTCAAATAGCAATATTATCATACGATCAACTTGAACGTGAGCTTCAGTGGTGCCCCCGGTGGCCATCAGGGAGTAGGTGCCAGTGTCGTCCTTTGTGGCATCGTCAATGATCAGCCAGTGTTTGGTCCCCTCGCTTTTCACACGGTACCGTGAGCGCACCCCTGTGGGGACCTCAACCCCATTCTTCATCCTGTACCAGACAGTCAGCAAAGAGGTGATGTCATTTTGCTTTGCTTGTTTAACACAAAAATGGGATATTAAACACCTAAAATCCCCATTGCACATACCATTTAACTTTGGCTCCTTCCTCAGACACTTCACACTCCAGTTCAATTCTCTCGTTCACTGTGGTTTTTACAGGCTCCAGCTTTTTCACTATGTTCACAGGCAGTTCTACATAGGAGGACCAAAGGAGTACATCATCAAATCCTTGGCAGGCAGTGTTCAGGAAAGTTGTTATAAAACAATCAGCATTTATCAGTTCTGTCACTTTTTGAGCATGAAATCGTATGCTGGTAGGGTGGACGCACCTTTCACAAACAGTTCAGTGGTGCACTTCTCTTCTCCTGCAGTGACTGAGTAGGCAGCATCATCGTTTATCTGACAGTTGTTAATAACCATTATCCGTTGAGTGCCTTTGTGCTCAAAGATAAACCTGCACAATCAATTCATTAGTTACTGGAAGTTAAAGGAACACTCCACTATTTTTGAAAATAGGCTCATTTTCCAACTCCACTAGAGTTAAACAGTTGAGTTTTACCGTTTTCGAATCCATTCAGCCGATCTCTGGGTCTGGCAGTAGCACTTTTAGCTTAGCTTAGCATAGATCATTGAATCATTGAAACCCATGGTACGGCAGCAAAGTTCCTTGATTATTACACTGGAATGAAAGTATAGTTCCTAGCCATATCGGCCTACAAAATCGCAACTTTTCATTTTCCATCAGTCTTAGTACACGATGTAACTACAGAATAGTCAAGTTTTAAATAGGAAAAATATCGAAACTCTTTGGTCATTTTTGAGCGAGATGATAACGGTCTAATCAGATTCAATGATCTATGCTAAGCTACAGCTAAAAGTGCTACCGCCAGACCCGGAGATTGGCTGAATAAATTCGAAAACGGTAAAACTCAACTGTTTAACTCTAGGGGAGTTGGAAAATGAGCCTATTTTCAAAAATAGTGGAGTGTTCCTTTAAGAGGCTGTTTTTACTTCACATCCCTAACCCTAACATTATTAGATTAATTAATTAATTCATTCATTCATTCAGCCATTCATCCATCCATCCATCCATCCAGTTTTTATTTAACCTTTTTATATTTTCATTCATTCATTCACTTATTCACAGTCTTAATAATTCATTAATTCATTCTGTTTTGGATGTTCATTCATTCAATCTTTTATTTTTTCTTCCAATAAGTCTTTCTTTCTTTCTTTCTCTATTGATTATATATTTTATTCATTCATTCATTTATTAGTTTATTGTCTTCATTTTTGATCGCTTTATTTCATTACTCATTCATCCATTCGTTCATTATTTCATTAATTCAGTGAGTCAGTCAGTCTTTTGTTTATTGATTTCATTCATTCATTCATTCTTACATTCTTTACGTTATTGATTGCTTTAATTCACTTATTCTGTATATTACTTATTCTTTCGTTCAGTCTTATTCATTTCTTTCTTTCTTTTATTTATTCTGTTGAATTCCACAATTAAACATGTAAGTTAGGAAAGAGAAAATGGAAATAATGTATATTGTACAGAAGTTAATTCCAGTCCTTTAATTTGATTGATCTGATTGTATTTTGCTCATAAATACACAAAACTTGACCCTGCTTTGGCTTGTTTTGGAGCTTTCTTCATTGGCAGAAAAAATATAGACAAAATAACTGGCCATATTGTGTCTAAGTTGTGAGTGTGTGCTGATATTCAGTAAAATAACATTCTTGCTTGTGTGATTGCTGGATTACTTATAGTTTGTTATTCCATTCAACATATGCAATATATCATACTGTACATACAACATGGCACTGAAAGCATCTGAACAGACCCATACAGCAGTTCAGATATACAAGACAGTCCTGTGGACTGGCTGACTTACTTCCTATTACTTTGTGGTGAACAGAGGAGCCAGAACAGCCGGAGCACAGGATGGAGAAGGTGGAAGTGGAGGTTATGGCAGACAGGTGGAATCACCATTGCATAACAGACAGAAAGGACAGATAGACATCATGCCTAGATCAAACAGGGCTGGAATAGCTATTAGTGTTACAGTTACTGTTGAGAGAGAGAGAGAGAGAGAAAGAGTAAAGTTGGAAGAAGAAAAAGAGAGAGTCCTCCAAAAAGCAGGGAACACTGGGATAGACATCACTGAAGATAAGCAACCAGAAAACTGCACCGACCACCCAAATGGCTTTAATTTAGTTGCTCTGAACAACCATGAGAAGTGGGTTAAAATATGCTTTTCCTTAATTTTCAAATAACTTAATAACAAATCATTGTCTTTTACAATTATTTAAAAATTAAGCAACATAAATACTGTTATAGAAACTATACACTTGTGTTTATTTACTCCTTAGCATTAAAGATTGTCTTAAAAATAAGATAAAAAGTGTGTTTTTAATTTTTTGTAGCACTTTAATAGACATTATTACAAAATATTTTGTTTTTAAATGTTATTTATTACAAAGCTACAAATTATTACAAAACAATATTTTTGTGTAAAGTTTATTTTGTCTTATATTTATTATGCCAAACAGCGGAGCAGTGACTATTTGTGCAATATTACCATAACATATTTCTCCAGAGCATTAGAGGTAAATATACATTTAATGTACAAATTTCAGGCAGCTTTTGCAACTCTATTAAAGTCCTGTGAGGGTGTTGGGGCCTTTTTCCTGTACAGTTTCTTGTTGTTAATTACTCACTGTATACTACATTTAAAACGTCAAATGTAGCTCAAGAGCTTCACATTGGCCTTCAATCACATAACGTCCTTTAAACATTTCTGGAAGTTATCACATGGCACAGATTAATGTTTAAAGAACGTTACGCGTTTGCCGGGTATGAAATGCTGATGGTTCACTTGTGTGTGTAGCAAGTGTGTTTGATGCAAACAGAGTCATTTCTGTGTCCCCTGTGACCCGCAAGCCAAAGAACACAATAATTGAAGGGTTTAAGCAGGTTGGTGTATACAGAGGGTTTCACATGAGCGTGTTTCTGAATGTAGTTGTAAAAATTAGCATGTACGAATAGGAGGTGACATACTTTGGAGTAGAACGGATCTCTTGTCCATTCTTGTACCATTTTAACTCCACGGTCGGGTCAGCAAGGTCCACAACTAACCGGATCTTTCCACCTTTGTCCACCTGATATGCAGGTTCCAGTCTCTTGGCAAATGCTACAGTGGAGAGTTAAATGAATAGTTCACCCAAAAATGAAAAATGACTGATAATGTACCCTCAGGCCATCAAAGATGTAGATTACTTTTTTCTTCATTAGAGCAGATTAGAAGAAATTTTGCATTACATCACTTGATCACCAGTGGATCCTCTGCAGTGAATGGGTGCCGTCAGAATGAGAGCCCAAACAGCTGATTAAAAAGTAAATAAAACGACTCCAGTCCATCAATTAATGCCATTATTTTTCTTACAAGCACACAGTTTTTCACTTCACAAGATGTTAATTGATAGACTGGCATCTACATGATTATTGTGATGTTGTTATCAGTTGTTTGGACTCTCATTCTGACGGCACCCATTCACTGCAGAGGATCCATTTGTGAGCAAGTGATGTAATGCTAAATTTCTCCAAATCTGCTATGATAAAGAAAAAAAAACTCTACATCCTAGCATGGCCTGAGAGTGATTTTAAGCAAAATATTCAGTTATTCAACTGAAGAATTTTACATTTTACATGTGAACTGAATACTGCACATTTATCAAGCAAAATAAACATCTAATAGAGTTTAAATCAGCACCTTCACTTTTTTTCTCTTCCTTTTTAGTTTTCTTCAGTCTTTTCAGCAGGCCTCTGAGATCGGTGATGCCATACGTAAAAGCAATCTTCTCATATTCATCAGGTCGGGCATTTTTCAAAATATCCCACACATCCACCTCAGAAACTTCCTCTTGCTTGTGCTCCCTGACATCACAGAGCAGTAAGAGGTCAGAGGTCATGGCTAGGGCTCTTCAACATGTGTTGAGGAACTAGATCGCTATGTAGGAATGTTCATAGGCTTTAATATGAGAAGAGAATGATGAATGTTCCATTACTTCCTTCCTTATATCTAGTTCCTCAAGACATGTCACACAAAGAGATGGGCTGGATAACCTGCCTATGTCATGGTAACCTGTTACAGGGAGAGATGCCTCACTAGTTTTTAGCTACACAGGGGTTGACATGATCAAGGAAGGATGGTTCTGTGTTTATGACTGGGGACAAGAATTTTGTGAGGAGCTGCTGTACTACTTTTCAATTTCACTAGGATTGGAAAGGATAAGGTCAGTAAAAAGGGGAGAACTTTGTGTTATCACGTGGTTAACATGATCGTGCTCATGATGGATCAACAGACTAAAATCATTTACTAAAAGAGAAGTGTGACATTTGTTTGAGTGCATTATAATGTCATTTATGTTAGGAAGATTTATAATTAGGGCTGTCAATGTAAAATGAATTTAGTACAGGTCTCAAAATGTGTTTTAAAGGTTTAAGTGTTTAACTAACTTAATTAGATAGATAGACAGACAGACAGATATATAGATAGATAGACAGACAAATAGATAGATAGACAGACAGACAGACAGACAGATATATAGATAGGCAGACAGATAGATAGTTCCCTTTCAGTTAAAAGAGCTTTTTCCCCTAAAAGAGCAAATTCGGGTGCGTCTTTTTGAAGACGACGTTGCGTGGCAAACTTGACGTTACGTCTTTGTAAAGACGATGTGGGTTTTGCTATAGAAAACGTATCACCCGGGCGTTTTTGGCTGCTCCCATTGCGGGGGTATAACCATCTCGGAGCTGCGGACCGGACTCCGTTACCTGCAAAGTGGCGGAGTGCCCGTGCCACTGCCTAGATCTGGGGTTCTCTCTGGTGGCAGCCGGGGGACCGACTGAAAGGGAACGTCTCGGTTACGTATGGTAACCCTCGTTCTCTGAAGGAGGGAATGGAGACGTCACGTCCCGTCGCCACAGCTCCTGTACCACCGCTGAGCGGCCGGGTGACCGGCTCGGCTCCTCAGCGAAAACCTGAATATGCGCTGCATCTACTGCCTACTTATACTCATGCTGTGATCAGCAGCAGCAGGATGCAATAATCGCATGCCAATGTGCATTGGCTCGTTTAGTTTACACTCAAAGTAGATTGGTCCCTCTAAGCGAGATCCCAATTTCGTCGGTCATCCGACGTGACGTCTCCGTTCCCTCCTTCAGGGAACGAGGGTTACCATACGTAACCGAGACGATAGATAGATAGATAGATAGATAGATTTGATCAACAGCCTTAATTACAATTCTTCATTCATTAATAGTATTCTATTGACTCTGTCCTATAGCTTAAACTGTACCCATCTCTTTGCAGGAGTTCTATCTAAACACATCTGGCAATGTAGTTGTTTTCTTTTATATTAGGGTTAGAAGTCAATGTTTATTATTAGGAGTGAATATTGTTGTTATACATGATCACAGTCGTTAATGATCAGGGTGTGAGACAGTTAAATTAGTCATCATCAGTTTTTGTCATTCAGTCCTCTTCTTACCCTGAATGTCTGGAGGTAACATTATTATTTTCATGTTTTAATGTGTGTTTAAAAGTCTGTAGTTGTTCAGGCAAGTATTAAGAACACTGAAAGTTTGCAGTTGCAGTTGTGTGCCTTGTTTCTTGAGTATAAATCAAAATTCCATTAACAAAAGTAGTGATAACACTATTTCACAGCTTCATGTAGAAGTGCTCCATCAACAACTCGTAAATGAGTGGAAAACATTCCCTTTCCATCAGGTTCTGACCTTGAAAGGGTTGTTTCCACCATTTCAGAACGTTGCTGAATCTTTTATGAACGCTGTCTTTAAATAAAGTGTTACCGGACTACAGTAGGCCAACACTCTTGCTTATACAGTTCCTGTTCAGGTCATGCTTGGGAAGCTAAGGGATTATATTACTTACCAGTGATAATGTCTAATTGATTAATTACCTACGATACTAACCTGCCTTGTCTGAAAGTGTAGGGAAGAAGAAAAGAGACAAGCCAAGATAATTTTCTAACTTTTCTTTTTTTCCATTATGCAGGAGTTTAACTTCTGATATTAGCTAACAACAAAGCAAAACCTCATGAAAAAAAGATGCTTCTAGAGGCAAAACCCCCAAAATAAGATTGTGTATATGAAGATACTGTGTGTGAATCCAGCATTTCATTTATGTTGGCAACACAATACACTTGTTTGCATTTATGCAGTCTTATTTATATGCCAAAATACAAAATTTATGTGCCAAAATTATTATTAATAATAATGGCACACAAATATTGTTTTAAACATTTTAATGGAAGAGTAGTTGCATTGTTGCAATAAATAACATGAAGAAAGCATTTCTTTTAAGAGTGTAAAAAGATACTGTTGGATTTTAACAACAGTGTAAAATCAAGTATGAAGAAAAAGACACCCATGTCAGGGCTTAAGATAAAAAAAGGACAGAAAATAAGAAAGAATTGGTCCCATTGGGGGACCAGACTAGAGTTCTCACCTATGTTTGAGAAGCCCACTAAAGTCAAGCTCGCCTGCATCGTCTTGGCCTTCACTGCTGTTGTTCACAAGAGATTAATGGAAATTGAATCAGAAAAGTCACAAACATCAGAATCAAACAATGCTAAAAGAACAACGCAAAAGCCTGCAATCTCTGCATCCGAACGAATGTAGGATTGAGGTGTACACAAGAACCTTTCGCTTCGCGACCGTTGGGCGAACTGATTTGTGCACAAGCTCCTAGTGGTCTCATGACTGACTCTCCCAGTGGTACTTTGGGAGAATTGTATGAGCTTGGATAGTTTGCATTGCTTTCTGACACATTGTTGGGGTGGAAGTTCCCAGTGCAAGCGTTGGCCTTTGAACAGTTCAACACATTGGTTTGGTTGGTTGGTTTGGTCGACGGGTGGATTTGGTGGTAAATATTTTTGACAAAATGGTTAACTGAGAACTTTCTGGTAACCCAGTCCTTCAACAAACCATGTTTATGTACATAAAGATTCTTTAAGCTGCAGATGCTTCCCAGTCTTGCTAGCCAGATCCATCCACTTGCCCTTGAACCACTTAATGGTTGGTTTACGAAGCAAGTCTTTGGCCTCCACCTTAGCAACGAAGTTGATGTCTCCACCTTTCAAACAATATAATAGATGGTTTTATTGAATAAATGCTGCAAGATCTAAAAAGATGTGCACAAGAGCCTGAGATACTGACCTACATTGATGGAACCACTCTGAGGCTTTTCAATCAATAGAGTCGAGAGCGGCGGAGTCTCAATCTGTTTGTCGATCTCCTCGGGAGGCTGGCCGTCCCCCAGAGACCACACTAACCAATTAGGAGAAAGAACACACTTACCGCACTCGTACATTTTTGGTTACTTTTTATAATAACGTTCATTTTTATTAGCATATTATGATACTTAATAGGTAATTACAGTAGTTAGTGCACATTCAAATGTTAATATCTCTATATTTCTATATAAATATATTAATATGCATCAAATTTCTTAATGAAAGTTATTATAAAACATTTGAAATCCATATATCTTCCAATCATCCACACACACACACACACACACACACAAGTACTCAACAAACACACAGTGACACATCGTCATCACACATTGCTGCCACAAAGCAACATGGAAAGCATAAAGACACTGAACAATGACCTTTAAGAGGGAAAAGAGAGAATCGGTTAACATATGTAAATATACATTGTGTAGCAAAATCATTTCGAAAAAATATTCAGATTGCTCAGTGAGATTTCACAGATGTTTTTAGTCAGTGATCAATGATGAGATTAAATCTTTACCAAATAATATTCTGACCCATGCCATTCATTTTCCTATGGAGTGTGAAAAGGCAGATGATCTCCAAAACCCCTCAAGTTTTTTTCAAGACGGGGTTTGGGATTATTTCACCGCTCTGGCCAAATGTACCCATGTGCCGGTTTCATTTGGCTGTCCATTGTGGGAAAAATTAGGCACTAAAAAGCGTCTTATCGCTTAACATATTCCTATTGCATCCTGTGTTTCTGGCTTCTAGGGATCAGTTAATGCTTCTACAGTAGTTATAGAATTACCTGAGTCTTTTCTCCCCCTGGTTGACTCAGGGTTGCTATCATCTAAACAGAGACAGAGAGAAATTTACAGCATATTATAATAAATATTACTGTAAAGTCCATTGCGGCCAACAAACACACTGTAACACACAATGGCACACAATTCCACATATAAAACATGAACACAAAGCAGGAACAGATTGTTAATGGCACTCTATTTAGGGAAATATGACACAATGGTTGTGTCGTTCCATAAATTTTCAGTTGTCTTTTCTTTTAACCTAGTTTTTTATTAAAGGCTGTCTTTCTTTAAAATGATTAAAATATGATAAATAAATGTTGTAGTACTCTAACAACTATTTTAATGTTTTCGCAATGCTTATGTCATAAAAATGTGTTTTATGGTGAAATAAAAGCTGGAATTATCAGGACTTTATGTGTTGGAGAGTGTTACACTGGAAGTAAATGTAAATTCAAAGGGCAAGGCTCTACTGTAAATAACTGTATTAATCTTCAACCTGTTTGCTCAAATTAATATTCACATAAAAATATCTCAAAATAAACATATCTCTGGGTAGAAAGTAATCGGGGGCATTAATTAGTGAAAGTCTCTTACTAGGAAGGTCAATAGAAAGTTTCTTTGGAATGCTGACATCCTCTGTGAAAGAAAACAAAATATTATTTATTATGAGTATCTGTTTTAGCCAAGTGAAGGGGTGTTTATTGACCTAAAACAAGTTAATTATGAAAAGTTCAATTTATTTGCTGCATATTTTGACAGAGCTTTTTTAAGTAATTAATTAATTCCCTTTCGTCCTTAATTTTGCATGTTTTTTTACTTTAAATTTACAATACAAAACATGTATTATATGCAAAAACATGAATTATGCATTTCTGTACAAGCATTATGTGTATACTGTATACACATCAGATGTCTTCTGCATCCCTTCCTTTATATGAACATATGTTATATAAAGGGTCTAAATGCTTGTATGAATCAGGCAAAAATCACAAACGTGAAGTGCATGTGTTTTTGCTCATACGTTCCTTTGCGAGTTTCATCTAGAGCTGTAAATATTCATTTTTAGTCCAATCTTTAGCTGGTTTTATTCTTAAACTCTCCTAAAGTATTTGCATTTTGAATTTCAAAAGCTCACCTGGCATTTTTATAGCAACAACATTAGTAAAGACGTGTAAATAGTAATTTGATGAGGATGGGTCGTCATGGTTACCAACCTGCTGGAGGTGGAGGTGATGGAGTGCTGGCGGTGACATCATCATCTTTATCTGAAATAAAGGTGTGATTGACACATACACCAACCTATCACTGAACTCCATTTCCAGCCGTAGACCAAACAGAGCGTGCATACATGAACTTTAAATTCAACATGAACCCACTTACAAGTAAAAGATGGAATGCTGGGAATGTTTGCCGGTGTCTTGGACAAGCATGACAGGAATGGTATGTGACTTTGTTGTGGCTGTGTATACGTGTGAGGATAAGAGTGTGTTTTGCAAGACAGAAGCGATATGTATACAACCACAAGCTTATCTGATGGCCCGCCGGGCCATGAAGCAACACACATGTGGATGGAAGGAAGTGTGAGGTTATATTTTGGCTTGCCGGTGAAACCCATGAGCATTTTGCAATACACAGAGAAAAGCTATGCTTTAATTATTGCAGAAGATTCTTCTTTTGCTACAGGAACAGATCCAGCAATGCGGCCTGAATGTTTGAATGCCACATTATTAAAGCTTCTGAGAAAACAAAGTGAGTATAAATGCTCAAAGCACATATACACACATCTCCACTCAAAACACACACTGACTGATATACTTCTCTGTCCTCTGTTGACATACAATACCTTTTATAGGGGTAGCTTTTGTATCAGCAGACTTCTTCATTGAAGGTGCTGATCAGTATAAATTAAAATGTTAGTGGACACAAATACAAACAGTCTACATATAAACTAGATTATAACATCTTAGTGGAGTTTTCTTACTTTTTTGGACTTGCTGTGGGATTTACTGTGCATCACACACATGCATGCTAGATATCTTACAGGCACTGTCAGTACAGAGCTTTAAAGACCACAGAAGTGGAATTAAATGTAACATTTGCATTACAAACGAGAATTTCCTTTGAAGGACTTTCCTGCAGGTTAAAGTGAAAGAAACCTTTGAGTCTTTGGATGGTAGTGAGAGATCTGGTAGAAACACCAGGGTCAAAACATGTGGTGCTGATGAAACATTAAAGATCTGTAGATCAGATCAGGGATATTAGACGGTTAGACAAGTTGAACATCCCTGATGGGTTCAACAAAACTAAATATGATGGAAAATACTGGTTATTAATGCTTCTGTTGATGTCAGGGATTATTAAAGTTTTGGCTCCATATGTACTTGACTCAAATCGTATGCAACTTGCAGTGTTGGGGAGAAAGTACAGAAACTAAACAACATAGTACATATATTTAGCAATTTAACAGTACTTCAGTTGTTTTTTCCAGCTAGAATTTATGTAGTGTAATGAGAGAAGAAAAGAAAAAATACTGTTGTATTGTTACTGTTGTTTGTGTGATTTTTATTGTAAATATGTTTTACACAAGAATGAAGACTTATGTAATAAGGTCATATGACATTCATCACATAAGGTCAAATGACCAGATGAATATCTCAATAACCTCCTTGTTTTTAGATGTAAAATACTGGCTGTATACTGGCAATATTTGTGTGTGTGCATGTGTGTGCCAATAGTGATCAGTAAGTCCACTGTAAAAAAAACAAAAACCTGAATGCTGAAATACTGCTTTCATTATTTAATTATTGTCATTTTTTAAAAATTGTTTTAGTTCATTTAAATATCATTTAATATATCTTCTAATGTTGTCACTTTTTATGTAGCTTGTAGCTTTGCAAACTAGTTTCAAAGAAGCTTCCCAACACTGGCAAGTTGTTATTAGGATTTTACTCTTTGCAATACTCACCGGGAACTTTTGGGGTGCCGGGCTCCTCTTCTTTTACCTCAGTCACCTCGACATGCTTCTTAGCCTGTGTTGGCGCAGGTTCATTGTGGCCGTTCTCTACAGGCTCTGTCACTAATGGCTGTGGGTCTGTGACCTCACCCTCTACTGGCTCTAGTTCAGTCACCACAATTACTACAGGCTGTGGCTGAGGGGTCTCAGCAGCAGGCATGGGCACGGCTGCCTCTGCTTCTGTGACAGTCACTATGGCCTCTGTGTCTTTGGTTGCCACTTTAGCCTCTGTACAGCAAACACAGCCAGGCTAGAGCAGCAAGACTTCAGGAAGCCACCTTCAACTCAAATGCTTACACATGCACACACTCACTCACATAGATGTAAAGTGACTAAATTGGTCAAATATGTGCATTACATATATTTACATGTTAAATATTTAATTAACATGTAAAACTAAATATGATGGAAAATACTGGCGTCACTGTACATCTATGAAACTGTAAATCCCAAAAGAGGCAAAGTACAACAGGCTCTGCAAGCATCTACTTGTGGAGTATTAAAAATAATTTACAATTCTATTAATTATTCTCATGTACAAAATGTCTAAAGATGTTTGAAGTATATTTTTAAATATAAAATCAAATAATATATAAATATTAATATAATATTATATATTTATTAATCAGCATATTTGAACTCAATAACTAGTAAATAATGAGAATGAATTATTCTCTGCATAAATTACATATGGTTTAAATATATATATGTTAATAATACAAGTGATAACATAATTAATATTAGTTTTAAAATATTTATATTTTCTGAATATCCATGTTTGTACACAACAACTACAGTCAATTATGAGAATGAATTATTCTCCTGCACAAAATGTGTATCTTTATTTATTAATAGTTTATTATAATTTATAGTTTATTAGACTTTATTTAAATATTTTATACACATTTTAATAATAAAAATATACAATATAATATATAAATACTGTACATTTAAATATTTTAAATATCCATACAGTATGTTTATACAGAACAACTACAGTCTCTTACACAAAGGTTTATAGATGTGCTAAGTTTAGTATATATTTATTTAAGATATACTTTATATTAAATATATACTTTAAAAGACAAATATATAATATTAGTTTAAATATTCTACATTTAAATTTTTAAATATCCATATATTTGTACATAACAACCACAGTCAGTGTGAATTTTGCATTTCTTCTGCAGTCAACTTGATTTTGAAAGCACAGTAAATGGTTGATGCCTGCACAGGTGTCTTTCTGTGAGTGTCCTTTGCTTCTTTTCATATACTATACCTTCACATCAAACTTCTCCATATACTGATCAACAAAATCCTGCCATCCATAGGTATTAGTACTGCGTGGTGTGGGTTAAGGTGTGGGCCATTCATTTGTGTATGTCAGTGTGAACCCATAAAAAAGGTGTGTGCTTGTGTGTGTATACTGTAGTTTGTACACTTGTAGTTCGTGTGCTGATTTACCTAAACTGTTGTGATCACAAAGTGATAATTTGGTGGAAATCACAGTGGAACAAACACAAACACTCTCACACACGTGAGGTAAGAGTGCCGTGGGTGAAACTGGGAAACCAAAGGGAGGGGAAACACATGGTTGAACACCTACCTTTCGGGGTCATCACAACTGAATTCTCAGATGGGGCATCACCAGAGTCTGGGGCAACATTCTCTGAGTATGTGACAGACATAGCGGGGGAATGCAAGTGCCTCTTTCAAAGCATGAAGCGTCAGCAACACATACAGATGCACATATATGCTGAAGGACAGGAGACGATACAATATACTCACTCACAGACACTTTTATACATTTATATATACAGATATAATATATATAAATGTTATTTCACACACACACACACACACACACAGAGGGCCTCGTTCATAAAACACAAGCAAAAGAAACTTCTGCTTGTCTTTCATAAAAGATGTCCACTGTCAGGACAGAAGAACATGGAGAACTCCCCAACACATTGAAAGAAAATGAAATGATCACTGAAGCGTGAAATGGACATCATTCAACATTTTTTGTATATGTCAATTATTTATATATGATTTCTTTCTATCACTGGCTGTAGATAGAACGAGTATAATACATACTATGTCCGAATGCTATCCATGTGATAGGAAACCATACTTGTACGAGCCAGAAGCTCTACAAATAATGGCTCCGAAGCCAAAAATCATTCTAGAACCTCAAATGAGAAGTGTATATTACCAGTGCACTGGTAACAAGGGCCTAAGCCTAAATGTCATCTGAATCAACAACCCATGATCAGCTGGACAGAATACAGGGATTCAGACCATCTGGCTGATATATGAAATAACAGTGATACTCATCTGGTGAGTAGCCTACTTCACATTTGTTCTCACCATGTTTGCACGTGGTGCTGTGCGCTTATTAGCTTTACTGAATGTTTATACTGTACTTTGTTGCTTAAAGCAGAAATTGTGTCATACAAAACATGTCAACATCAGTACTTCCAGACACACTTATACACTCACAGAACTCAATCAACCGGTGGTTTATTTGTGTCAGGTCAGTTTATTAGGTCTTTCTTGTCGCAAATTAAGCAGGTATTTTTTGTATTATGGCCTACTTTAATTTTACTGTTGCCCATGGCAACATAACATCACTACTTTAACGGCAAATTCACGTGGTTTTGACACTCAAACTACTAATCGATAGGCTAGTATCTGTGATCTGGAATTTCACGAGAGGGCGAACGATTTCTCCATGCAGATTTCGCAACGGGTTCAGGATGTTTACATGGGTTTATTACATCGACCAACAGAAAACTGCTTGGTTTGACTGTATCTGTTTAAACTGTGCTTCATACATTGCTACTTTATTTAAAGTTTTGGAATTGCCATGATCAGCGTTAACCATGGCAACATTAGCTTCTTTTTTCATACTGTTCGGAGTCGTTTCAAAACACAGCTAGAACAGCTAATTGGCGCCATCTTATGACTCAAAACCCTTAAACTAGTAAAATGCCATTGAATTACTCTTTATATTAATATGTTAAGAATGAATGGATAGATGCTGTTGGATAGATGTTTGGTCTCGTTCTGTATGGCGTATCTTGTCAGTGTCTGCGCTTGCTTGGCCATTTGTTGCGGAGAAAATAAGGAAAGTGTGTCCAGCTGAATTAATTTAGTATTTTGTTAGATATATAGGTATAAAAGGTATAAAAAAAAGCTTAGTTTACCGCGACAGCCGTCGCGTGAAGGCCTCCTCGTGATGGTCTTTTATTAAGTTTTTAGTTTTATTTAATTTGAGTTATTTTAATACTTCAACAAACTAAATGGAAATGAAATAATATATATATATTGAATTTATAAATGTGTATGTACATATACAGTATATATGTATATGTGTGTGGCTGTACATACACATATAATGTAGTTGTTTTTTGGTTTTTGGCTTAGTGTTATGTTAGAATCATTATTATACTCTTATACCTTTTGTTCTTTAATATTTTGAATTGTTTTTAGCTTAATTTTTTTTTGTTTTTCAATTAAATGTTAAGTTTAGAAATTTTGTTGTATGCATTTGTCACTTTTATTTAATCTCTTTATTTTTAAAATATGTATAGGTAGTATTTATAAAGTTTTAGCTTTTAGTTTTGGATCTGTTTTTAGTTGTTTTAATACTACAATTGATTGCTTCTGTTGTCCTCATTTGTAAGTCGCTTTGGATAAAAGCGTCTAATAAATGACTAAATAAATAGATGCCTAGAAACTCAGGTGGCCCCATTTAAAGCAAAAAATTCATGTGGCCTAGATGAGAGTGAAAATTGGAATATTTAGCCTGTAAATATATATATATAGAATGGATTGCAGCTATTTGTTGTTACAGTATATGCTGTAATGAACATATGAATGTTTTATTATTAAAAGCGGAAGCTAATATAATGCCACATGTACAGTATATGCTTTTAATCGGGTCATTATAGTAAAAGGCTTTAGTAACTGACTGACTGTAAAAAATATGCCTACTATTTATTTTTTGTCAGACTACGTTTAAAGTTTTTTTTTCCCCTTCGCAACTCAGTGACTCTCTATTATCATTGTCCATTCACTCATAAAAACTGATCCAGGATGAGGCAAACAAGTTTATCTGAAGAAATTCACGACTCACCTTCAGGTTGGCCATCATCTGTCAGGAAAAAAGAAAAACAGCTCCATGAAATTTCCTATATTTTAGGTAAGGAGGCTTTAAAATTGTCTAAAATAAATTGTCCCAAATAACAAAGTTGCTTGTGCTGTTTTTCTTTATAATAAATGCCACTTGATTTAATATTTTGTTATCTAATATAATGGCATTTTAACTCTGGATACTTTTTTAGGCCACTGTATAATTTGTATAAAGAACGAGTGCAGCTTTGTCTGTCTTTAAAGCATTCTGTTTTTGTTTTTTTACTGGGTGTCAGTGAGCAGTATTGTGTTAGTTGCGGTGCACATGTCTAGACATATAGCAAACCGTTTAAAGAGGCACATCTTGACACAGTGTTATAGTAAACCCAGCAGAGCATGATGAAAGTACTCTTACAGACCCTAATGTGATTAGAGGAGTTAAACAAACTATATATTTTTTTAAAGAAATTAATACTTTAATTCAGGAAATTCATTAAATTGATCAAGTGACAGTAAAGCCATTAATAATGTTACAAATAAATGCTGGTCTTTTGAAATCATGCAGAAATGATTTCACCTAAAAATATTATGCAGCACAACTGTTTTTAACATGGATAATAACATTGCTAAAAAAGAAATGGTTCTTGTGCAGCAAATCAGCATATTAGATTAAATTCTGAAGGATCATGTGACACTGAAGACTGGTGTAATGGCTGCTGAAAATTCAGCTTTACCATCACATGAATAAATTACATTTTAAAATATATTCAAATATTCACATTTAAATTGTTATAATATTTCACAATATTACTGTTTTTACTGTATTTTTGATCAAATAAGTGTGGCTTTTGTAAGCATATGAGACATTTAAAAATTCTTCCCAACCCCAAATTTTTGAACGGTGATGTATGTCCTGTAATCTCACGCGTGTTTCCTTCAGAGTTTCAAAAGAGATCTCAACTATGTCTCAAACTGTGCTTGGAAATCTGCACTTAAAGTCAGACATTTCATTATCAACTCAAACTCAGCTATAACTCAAACATTTCTCATCACATACTGCAGACACCAAATGATCTGTGTTTATACTGTATTTATGTCTGTATACTGGATTTATTTTTCTCTTTATACCTTCTAGGGAGGTTTAGGAGAAACATGAGACCATGATGAAGTTGGGCCATTACTGAGAGCTCCATTAGGTCTCTTACAGAGCAACCTCTGAGCAACAAACCTTCCTCTAGACTATACATGATGTAAATGTCAGCAGCTTTGTCTCGGCAACCCGCTCCTGTTGCCTTGGCTCGGGCTGCTGTGAATTCTGTGAGGATGCCAGCCTAGGCTGATCATGGCACAAAAGGATCTCTGTGAAGCGTTCCGAGCGCGACCGCTTCATTCCTGCCCCCTGCTGTCAGGAGCGCATGTGAGGAGGGCCAATGCGAACACCTGTGTGCTTCTCCTTGTTTAGCCCTTTTGATATTTTTGACATCTCTCAGCTTTCAGCTCCCTCGTTTTGTTTGCTGTCTCTGTCAGTCCTTCTCTCCTTCACTGGGTGTTTTCTACAGTTCATTGTCACTCACTATATTCTCTGTTCTGTAGCTACATCCTGTCTTATGTTGCGTAATTTCCTTGGTCATCTTCATATGGAGTATAAAACTCCTGAAAAGTCTCCTGCAGAAGTCTTTGTGATATATATTCAAAGCAATGCCATCTTGTCAACAGAAATACCTTCTTTTTTTCTGCAATGCAACGTTATCCAAAGCCCCGCCACATGTATGATAATTTATAATGATAATATATCAAACATGAAATACTTGAATTTATGAGACTTAGGACACAGTTATATGGGACCTTCAGTAATGTAAAAAAAAAAAAAAAAATTAGTTGATCCCCTCATCTGCTGGCAGGAATTTAATCACTAAAAATTATAACATTTGTAATAATAATAATAATTATTATTATTGTAATGATTCCCCCACTAAGCACTATATAAATATGACAACTAATAATAATAATAATAATAAATCAAGATGTTTTTGCATATTAATTCGTCTTTTGAGACACCAAATTTTATTATTACTTTTTAATTAATAATAATTATTTTACCTAATTATGTGATCTTTCTTATTTTATCTCTTTATCTTGTGCATGTCATAAGAAAAACTCTATAATAATAACAATAATTTAAAAAATGTTAAATCTTGATGAAATTAGTCTTTTAAGGCGCCTAATCTTATTTTTTATTTTTTTGTCTTGTCAGTGCCGTGAGAAAAGCACTACATTAATGTAACTAATAATAATTATTAATATTAATCAATCAATTAATCATTCATCTTTTTTGCCTGAATTAGCCTTTTGAGACCCCTAACCTTTTTATCTCTCTTTTTTCTATCTTGTGGATGTTGTGAGAAAATAATGTATAATAATATTAATAATAATAATTTAAAATCAAGATGTGTTTACCTGTTAATGAATCTTTTTAGAAACCTAATCTTATTTTATCTCTCTCTCTTTGTCTTGTGCATGATGCCACCCCACAGATCACGTCTTTTGGATCCCTCAGCTCAGATTTGGCACTGACGTGGGTCCTTCCACCCATTAAAGAGCCATTTATGTCACGGTTGAGCTGGCTGGTGTGGCATTCTGGCCGTTTCGAGATCCCCCTGGCTCATCCAGCAATAACGACAATTTTGAAAGGTATTTTTTTACCCTCGCAGTGCAGCACAACAGAATGCAGGTATGTTCAGCTGTCCCTACTGCTGCCGTGAGGACAGACAGGCTCATGTTGACCCCCCACACACCAACGGTTGTTACTAGCCGGCCCTCCAGCTTAATATAGATAGGATTCAAACCTCATTTATTAAAGAACATTTTCAGTTACATGCTTTTTGTCTGACAAGCGAATGCACTGCAGCTAACTTTTTATTGTCACGACCAACACGGACTAAAAAAGATTCATAATAGGTTCATAAAGATCGACAAAAAAGTGTATACAGCTTTTAGTTTGAGAATCAATCTTTTATGATAAAACTGTAAAAAAGTACTATTGTACGTGGAAGTCGTGCAAACTTTGCTGGCTCTGAGAACAACAGGCATCAGAGAGCAGATGACAGCTTGAATGTGTTATTTCTCTTGGTGTTGATTTATGAGTGATCTGACATGAAGGAACGACACTTTGAACGCTTTGAGAAAAAGTGAGAGTGAAATACGCAGGGTACACTCACACAAGTAAAAGTTGCCAGTTGGCTGGTAACTGTATAAGGAACCGCAACATAATACATGATAGTTAAAGTAATTGACGTGCATAATTAAAACGAATGACATACAGACCTTCTACAAATAAAACACAGGAAAAATGTTTTGTAGGATACGTAAAATGTTATTTTCTCCAAACTATCATGGCAACACATAAGCGAAATATTTCTCACATTAAAACCACTATAATAACAATAAAACAACTATGCAACAATGTCTACATATACAGTATATATATATATACAGTATATATACAAACCTGAAGAGTTTTAATTTTTTATACTTAATAAAGCATAATAACTCTAACTCTATTTTAATATAAAGCAATGCATAATTCATGACTGCAAATAAATATTTATTTATATATTTATTTACAATGGTGTGTGAATGGAGCTAAATTTGCTCCATTCACACTCCATTAGCTGGTGCAAAGTTCATTTTGGACTCTGGTGTTCCCCCAAATTTATGAGGACAATCTTTTTTTTTTCAAACAGACATGGTCACAAAGTCTAATACTCTCTCTTGAGGTTATTTATGGAGGGCATCTACTGTATATGGAATCCATCGTAATTAAATATTACAGTTGGCTTATCATCTCAAACTATGTTTTCATCTTTCAGAGTAACCAATTGTTTGTTACTTTAAAAAAAAAAGGACAGTTGCACTGCAAAATCATTTTCTTAATCGCAATTTTTGTCTTGTTAAAAACATTAAAGCAAGGTCAATTTACTTGAGAAGCAAAATTGTAAGATTTTATGGTTTGTTTTCAGAGAATACATTTCTAATCAATTATTTTTCTCTCACCACATTGGCAAATTGTTTTTTTTTTTTGTTTTTTTTTTAAACATCAATCTTGGTGAATTTCATTAGATGTATGCTTAAAATATGTCAAATAATATCTTAATGTCTTATCCAGTTTTGTTTTCAGGTACATTTATGTTGTTTTACAGGTGTTTTTCACCAAAACAAATGTAAAATTCTGTAACATAAAAGATTATAATTTAAGGATTTTTTTTTGTCCATACAGTGGAAGTCAATAAGCACCAAAACTGATTTGATACCAATATTCTTCAACACTCAAACAGGTTTGCAACGACATGAGAGTGAGTACATTATGACAGAATTATTATTTTTAGGTGAACTAATCCTTAAAGAATGTTTAGACATTTTCACTGGAAAACAAGACAAAAATATTTGATGTATGTTTTCTTGATAGACAGATGTTTTCAGTCACCATAAGCATCTTTTCATTCATTTTTCAACCCACAAAAATCGTCACGATCTACCCGATGGCATTTACAATGGGTGTTGGGCGCATCTGCAAACCCTGTACCGAAATGGATCGCGCCACCTGCCTGTTTATGACCATGTTTATGAATATCATCAAAATAGCTTCCATAACATCAATCTCCCAAATCACCCACATTCTGCATCATAATCCCCATTGTCCAGAAGTGGACGGATCCCATCCAGTGTGGCTATGTTTAGAGGCCGATATTAAAATATGAGTCATCCTCAGAGGAAAGCCATAGCCTGACCAAAAATAAAATTTAAATGTCACTGGTGCTTGTCACGAATGATGAAATCTCAGAGCTGTTGTGCTCATGCATATGAGAGATCTGCTTTCATATACTATCCAATAAATTAAAGCCAGTCTTTCCCATTCAGTAATAATAATCATGATGCAATGTAAGTCAAAGAGCACACACAATATCGCATCCTCATACTTCAGTCAGCAGTGGAAGCTGATCTCTATATCATCACCCCTGAAATATTTGTCCATCTGAAGGCGTAGCATCCCCACCGGGCCATCAGCATTGCATCATCCATCAGAAATGCCTCTGGCACCACAGTAAAGCTGGGCTCCATGACTTGAAACCCAGCGCAGAGTAAGTCAGCACCATTCCATACCCAGAATCCCGTATAGCTGAGCTGACTCTGCGCTCCTAATCACCTTGACTATGCACCATCCATCATAGCAACAATGGGGCATTACAATAGTTGCTTTTCATAAAGTTGCCTGGATCACCTCATCATCCAGCACAATGTGAATTCCAAAGTCGCTCCTGATCATCCCTGAGCTTTTTATGTCTGCTTGAGTCATTTTGTCCTTCTCATGACTGTAGGGATGATGCAAACTTCTTCACCTGCTTCTGCTTCTACCAACCACCTTGACCTAACATATGTTATGTTTTATGGTGTATAAACTGTCAGTTCATTACATGCGACTCAAAATACACAATTTTCGAAATTTTTTGCTATCTTTCTATAATGCAGCATTGTATACTGTGTATGTTTGCCATATGCAGTTAAGAAAACTCTGCAAGGTGAAGTTAGTCCTTGTTGGTTCAAGCCTATTCAGTTAAAAAACTTGACTCAAACTCAGATTAGAATGAAAAAGGTGAAACAAACCAGCAAAGCGGAGCTGCCAATTTGTTATCAGCATGTTTGTTAGTAATGCTCAGGTGATATCACTGATAATGTTGTTGTACATCTTGATTTGGTCAAATTTGCCATCCTAAAACATTTCCTTTTGTTTCTTGATCAACAGATTCCCCATCAGACTATGTAATCTGTGGCATAGTGATGGACATGATTGGTTCTCACCTTTCTTTGTGGGCTCAGGCATGTTGAGCCGTTCTCCGGTGGACCAGGCAGCAGTTGAAGGTAAGTCTGGGCTGCCCAGTGTGTGTGGCAAGGGGTGTCCTTTAGCCAAGGGGTGTTATGATGGAGTAACGGAGGTGAGGAAAGCTTCACCAGAGAGTTTGGAAGTCAATGAGGATGAGGGCAACGCAGGAACGCGAAGGAGAAAGTAACAGATCTGGGGGTGATGAATAAATTGGGTTTATATAGCTCTCATCTTAGCCACTCCTCTCTGTGTTTGATAATAGAGCCCAAAAAACATCCCTAACACCTCCCTCCCCTTCGCTCCTAAAGTCCTGGGATTAGATGCTCCTCACCAGCTGGAGTCAGACAGCGAGAGGGGCATTGGATAACATTGCATTGCAGAAAAAAATAAGGTATTTCTGTTGACAAGATGGCATTGCTTTGAATATATATCACAAAGACATCTGCAGGGTATTTTTATGCAGAATGCTTGACCCTTCAATCAAAATGTAATATATATAAAAATGTGTTGTTATGTTATATTATATTATATTATATTTAGTAATATGTGACCCTGGACCACAAAACCACTCATAAGGGTACATTTTTGAAATTGAGATTTATACATCATCTGAAGGTAATAAATAAACTTTCCATTGATGTATGGTTTGTTAGGATAGGACAATATTTGACCGAGATACAACTATTTGAATATCTGTAATCTGAGGATGCAAAAAAATCAAAATTTTGAATTTTTTTGAAAAAAAAAGCCTTTAAAGTTGTCCAAATGAAGTCATTAGCAATGCATGTTACTAATCAAAAAATACTTTTTGATATATTTACGGTAGGAAATTTACAAAATATCTTCATATCCTAATGCTTTTTGGCATAAAAGAAAAAATTATGGCCCATACTATGTATTGTTGGCTATTGCTACAAATATACCCGTGCTACTTATGACTGGTTTTGTGGTCCAGGGTCACATGTAATATATAATAATTTTTTCATAAAACATTTTAAATAATATGCTGCATATTTATCTATATGTGTAAATATATGTACATATGCGAACTGCTCTTTAATACTTGGTCTTTATTCCTGCCAGTGAGGTGTTTGTAATGAAGATACGGCCCTGCCAGTCGGTGGTTGATGTGACTGATTTACTATAAAGCTTGGCAAGGCCCATGTCAAGGGCATTCACTATAGGCTGAATGAAAGAGATATTAGTAGGTGATGTTGTCATCCAGGGGTTCCCAGTGTCTAAGCGCCACCCTTTCTCTAGAAAGCCTCTGGGTGATATTTAGGGCTTAGTGAGAAAAATAGGAAACATTTACTTCACCCTTCAGCCAAGTGCCAGAGATCATTTTGATCTAATGTGGATGAGGGCCAAGGGCGGTGATCTGAACAACCAAGACTATAAATTCTGTTCAGATGCCTGAGCAATGCTTTTATACTCTATAATTAGAATGCCAACCTGAACTCTGACATTTGACATAACTAGCATGGAAAGACGGTGGAAACATGGGATTGTTGCCATTGTCAAGACTCTAATTATCCTGTTAACACTATAACTCTCATTATAAATCAGGCCCTTCTTCTTGCAGACGTAACAGCAGTTTACACATTGAGGCCCCGAAGCTTTAATAGTTTAAGTGAGCAATTACATGTAATTTATGATCATATATCTCAAGTAAGAAAGAAAGATTTGAAATCCATTTGTTTGAAACTAACAGAGGTCAATGACATGATGCAAATTTTGAAAAAATACATTACATTTTTAATCAAAAATGCATTTTTCTGTGTCTCAAGTCTTGTAAAATATCAAATAATTTGACCTTTTTATGGCACAACATGTTAGTTTGTGGTAAAATGTAAGATAATGATATTTATATAATGAATAATCAATGATATTTATTAAAAATACGTTTTACCTTTACATTAAAAACTGAACATTAATGTGTAATGTATGTCAAGGTGTAATAAAAATATCTATTTACTTAATGGTTGCAGCACATGACAGTTGACCCAATGTCTTTTATTTTAATTGTCAATGACGACATGGTTATGCCAAAGATGATGTCAGCTTCTCCGAGGGTCATATGAATGACGCTAAGTAATAGTAGATGGTTCTAATGCTCCTGTAACATATATTACGTATTAAGCCAGGACTCTTCTTTAGTAATTTCATGCTGTTCTTGTTCTGAAAGACTGTAAGACATTAATTAGTCAGCAGTCATTCAATCCGTAGCTGAGCTGCACTTGCCGTTAAAGAAACCTTTGTTTAGAATGGGATTTCTCACAAGTATGTGGTCCCATTAGCTAAATTAATTTGAAATTACTTTTTTAGTTGGCAATGTGCGATGTACAGTAAGTAGGTTATGAATGACATGCCATACTCTTGCATAACAAACCATCTTGACTGACTAAGTGGATTTTAAAGGGATAATTCACCCTAAAATGAAAATCGTGTCATACTCACTCTCAAGCTGTTCCAAACCTATATGAGTTTCTTTCTTCTGTTGAACATAGAATAAGATATTTTGAAGAATGTTTGGAACCAAACAGTTGACGGAAGTCAATGGCTACCGTCAACTGTTTGGCGGAACCTAACAGAGGTTTGCAACAACTTAAGTGTGAGCAAATTACAACAGAATTTTTATTTTTGGGTAACTATCCCCTTAAGCATGATTTTTGGCCTTTATTGGTATCGGACCCTCCAAACGAGGGGCCCATTTATAACCCTGTGTGTACTGCTCTAAAGGCAGGGTGCAGGGGAACTGTCATGTTGGCCTGCCACAAAGTACACACAAAACCATTTGGACCAGACTGGTGGTTAAAGGTTCATGACGCCCATGGGGATTTAGCTCTCACGGTCACCATAAAAAGCTCAGGCTAGAGAGTCAGAGTGGCACCTGCTTGCACTAATGCGCACACACACACACACACACACACACACACTCACACACACACACACACACATGGGAACCTAAACAAAGGCGAACAGATATCCCCTCAGAATTTCAACATCTCATTAAGATTCAGTGCGTTCAGAATGGAGCAGGCAGGGCTTTAGATGTAGTGATCTATCATGGGAAGCATGAATACTTGCTGCAGAAATAGATTCCACTCCTCCCTGTGACTAAAACTCTGTGGGACTATATAGGGAGAGAAACACCATCTCAGAATCACACAATACCATGTGTGAGGAGCACCCTGTGGCCAGTCAGTCAGTCAGTCAGAGAGACCAAACCAAGAATCTGTCTTTTAGTAGAGTGTTGTCAATAGCTCTGGGGCCAACTTCAGTATCCACAATGATGCCAGTAAAGAGATCGGCCTCAACAGCTGCTTACAGTGGCTCCAAAAAGCATTCAAACACTTAAGCCATACTTAAAAATGAATGCATTTTATTGCAGCATGTAACAAAATCTGAAAGCAAGTGGCATTTATTGTAAAGAAAGACGGCACATGCACATTTAGCGTTTCATGAAAATAAGTTTGTTTGGTTTTAAATGGTAAAATAATTGTGCTCACAATGTTTGGCTTCATGCATTCACTAAAAAATGCTAATTGCAAAAGTGGATCAGAAAAGTGAAGCAATTTCTGAGAAAAGCAAAGCATAATTTGTTTGTGGATGCCACTTGATTTGAGATTTTGATACGCCATTCAATGATAATTATACATTTTTAACCATTACGCAGGTTTCCAAATACATTTTGTGAGTCAAACTAAAATTAACTATCAAAAATACTTTTCTTTAATTGAAATAGAGCTTGAAAAACAAAAATTAACTTGAAATAAAAATGTAAACGAAAACTACAACTGTTGCATTGGCAACTAACTGAAATAAAACAAGTTTAAGTTGAAGTACTAAAAATAATAATTTCTAAAAATGTAAATTAAAGCTAAATATACTAATAAAAAAGTTAAAATCACATAAAATTGCATTAAACTAAAAATAAAAATAAAAACTGAAAATATGAAAATAGAAGCTAATTCAAATAATGATAAATACTATAATAGTATATAAATAATACTAAAACATTGATTTGCACTTTAAAAAAATAGAGATGTTAGAAATCACAATGCAATTTGTAATGTTTAGCATCAGCTTTTTGCCATTAAGTTGTTAACAATTATGTTGTTGTCCAGAAAAAAAAGCACAACTGTACTGAACAACAATCAGCAAGTGACAAAATCAAAATAAAAGCAGTGTAGCAGCTTTGCCACCTACTGGGAACAAATGAGCAGTACGGGACGAAGATGTTTAGCCTGTGTTTATTTGTTTTGGCTCTTTTCAAATGCCAGTTGAAAAAACTGATAAAGAAACTGAAAAAAATATATATAAAAAGTAGGTTTACTATATATGCATTTTTTTATTTATTTATAAGAGACATGTTTTTAAAAGACATACTATTTTAAATGCATCATGATATGCAAAGAACAGCAAAAAGTAAATTATTTAGGTAAGATTCTGCTATACAAACACCACAGTTCATCACCTTCATCGAGCAAGAAAAATAGAAACTAATTTTACCCTCCTCCTATTACCAAGGCAATTAAGATATCATGAGAGTAACAAATAATGACCGTAACACACTTGAGACAATCATTGAGCTCTCATTTCGATCCACATGCTGCTTTCTTTACACCATGTTGGCTCTGTAAAGTAGAGAGGGTCGCTAAACTAAACTGATAAGTCAGTTTCTTTTTCACTTTAATGATCTCCCCCGAGCGGGCGTAATTTCGCAGGGCACGGGACATTTTCTGGTAGGTCATGGGCATCCGGTTGCCCTTCCTCTGGCCCCATAGCTCAGCCACTCGCTCCTTGTTCCTGGCAGAAAAGCGGAAGATGCCTGCCGAAGCGGGCACCCAGGACACACAGTGGGCCATGCCTGGGTCCTCGAGCATCTCGAACAGGAAGTGGAAAAGACGTAGCTTTTTCCCTGCAATCATAGAGATGACTGCGGTCAAACGGCGTTCAAGTGTGTAGGCAAAGGCCTATGGAAACTATTTCCCATAAAAACAGGCTTGTATTATGATAGGCATAATTAAGATAAGCATCTCTAAAACATCAATGGTGTACAAGACCAGAGAAAATGAGGGAGAACTGAGATTCTATTTGGCAGTTATGGGTAGGACGGGCCGCTCCTGTGCTGCAGTTCCTCTAGGTTATTCCTCACCTTCGAGATAGCATCAAAATAAACCACAAAAGCAGAACTGACCTTTCTCTGCAGGTGTAATGCTGGGCAATGATTCGGCACACTTTTCAGGTGTTGTATTCAGAGTTAAAGGTCTCTCTGGTCCATTTAGGGCGTTTAACACTTGCCCGTCGGGTGCATTGTGAAGGACCGCTGATTGATCGAGAGCTTTGCTGTTGCAATTCATTCCACAGTCTGTATATGAGTCAGATCCGTTTGCTTTGGCTAGAGATCCCATGACCTATTGATTTGACAAAAAAAACTTGGTTTTAAAATAGAAAAGAACTGCTGCAAGAATGACACAAAGTGTTGAACTGAATGGTTTACCTGCTGAGCTGCAGGTGCAGGAGGCTGCAGCTGGGACTTTTCTTTTTCTAACACATTGTTAGAATGTTCTCCAGCAGGTAGCTTCTCTCTAGATATGTCCACATCTTCACTGGTTGACATGACAGAAAGATCCCTTGCTGCCAGTGCATTACAAAACCAGTTTAGTGATGATAAACAGACTGATCATTTCAGTGTTTTTTTTAATCCGTGCAATAAAAGTCAATGGGGTCCATTGCTTTTTTTTTTGGACACTATTCCCTTGTGAAAAAGACATACACAAAAGTATGCATACATTTAAAAAGAGAACTGATCATTAATAATATACTTTAAAGGAACTGGTTGACATGACAGAAAGATCCCTTGCTGCCAGTGCATTACAAAACCAGTTTAGTGATGATAAACAGACTGATCATTTCAGTGTTTTTTTTAATCCGTGCAATAAAAGTCAATAGGACCATTGCTTTTTTTTTTGGACACTATTCCCTTGTGAAAAAGACATACACAAAAGTATGCATACATTTAAAAAGAGAACTGATCATTAATAATATACTTTAAAGGAATATACTTACGTGTGAGCTGAAAGTAAGTTTTCAGACACTTAATCGCATGTTGCATTTACATTAAACTGTATTATCATTTCAATTCATTTTAAATGCAATTAACAAAACTTTAGAGTGATTTTTTGACCCACTTAAGTACACCTTTATATGTTCATTTATAATATAATTTCATAATTATATTATATATTATATTGTCTTTTTGAAATATGTTTTCTTAAAAGTGTACTAACAAGCATTTATAGTCAACTAAAATATACGTTAATGTAATTTCTATTGAAACTTGTATGCCATGTATTTAAATACATTTGTAATTAATCATTTGTAATTAGGAAGTTGCGATTTAATACATTTAAAATATATTAACTGCATTATATTAGTAAATAATACGTTGCAAAATGTAATATCGAATAACACACTGCAGTACAAAATGAAATCAAGTACTTTACTTGTGCTTTAGTATGTTAGTCAACACACCAAAATACGTGTGCTTATACACTTTTAAGATTTGAACAAGTATACACTACACTACAAGTGCACGTTCAATACAATGAAGCACACCTGATTTTGGGTTGACTTAGTTTCATTGCACTGACAAAAAGAGTTGAAAAAAATCTGTGTTCCACAGAAGAAATGAAATTATAGTTTAGAAAAAACATGAAGGTGCATTGAATTTTTTTTTCTCTCAAATTATACAAAGAAACTGCAAGTAACGCATGACATTTGGAAGTAGAAAAATTATTCATATATATACATATTTTTTATTGTAATTGATGACAGCATTTTCAATCCCTTTAAGCTTCCTTCTTACTGTTCCATAGGGCTTTTCTTCGAGATTCCTGTCTGTAATGCTCCTCAAGAAATTCCAGAATCACCTCCAAATCAGTCTGATATTCCTGCGGACTGTTCTGGTAAGAAGAAACAACTATTTCTTAACTCGTACACAACAGTGGCCACTAAAAAGTGTTTGGTTTGCTCTAATATAATGACACTGATACATTTTGAATTGCCCAAATATGTTTTGGGGCCACTGTAGAATACATACTAAAAAACAAAACTGTAAAATGGATCAATACTTACCATGTTAGTGTTCTTACTCTTGGTATTGCTGTTTCAGGTGTCGTTGTATTAATGAATAACCAATCGTTTATGAAAAGAAGAATTTGTTACTATTACTGTGTTTTCCACAAAACTCTGTCTCGCCGAAAAGGTGCAGACCTCTTTTTATCAATAGCAAGGGGCTGTGGGAGTGAACAGGCCTTTCTCAAATGATGTACGACCGTACATAAATAACCAGCCATTTTTTGACCCCAAACCACAGTTTCTGTCGGCCCAAACATACACACCCTGATCTCGGTCTAACACACATCTCTAGCATCCACCTTTATGGAACCAGTAACCACATCCTCTTCACTCTTACAGATAACAACCACAGCCACCTAACAATGAAACGCAGGCTCTGCATAAAAAAACACATTCATTTGTGCTCAAATGATCAAGAACAGAAGAATATGAAAAGCAACATAGATGAGAGAAATGCAATGTTTAAAACTTCAATCATAAAACAGCACAGTTGTTATGAGACCACTGTTTATTGTCCAGTTTGAAAATTATACAGCAGCACCACATAAGAGTTTGATTGCTATCTTACAAAGAGGAAGGTGATTTGAGATCGGTTTGTAATATGACACAGAAAGCAGTCACAAAGAATCTTCTCTCTGTGAAATTAGATAAGCTTGGCCAAATGCATTTGCAAAGAAATCAGCGCAAACGTTTATACAGCGGTTTCAAGCGTATGTGTTTTACAATGGAGAGTTTAACAAGCAAATTGATTGGGATTCTCAAGACAGGAAACTTTATTTGAGCGATAAAACAAATGATCTTATGTAAACAAGTTGAGAAAAGTAAATAAATATGAAGACAGACTGTTATAACAAACAGTAGAGCGATCCCAAAAAGTAGATATGACACTTGTATAATAATAATGCTATTTAATTGCATACAAAATATTAAAATATTTCATGAACCATTTTTTCTTATATATATTCTATATTCTTTTGATGAAATGTTTTGCTTAACAAAGTGCTCGCTCTGCTGTCATTTTTTAATGCAATAATTAATATATTTTGAGTGTCCAAATACTTTTTAGGGCTGCTGTACATATACACTGCGGTTCAAAGGGTTGGGGTCCTTTTTTTTTTTTTTTTTTTTAAAGAAGTCTCTTATGCTCATCAAGGTTGCATTCATTTGATCCAAAAAAAAAAGTAAGATTGTAAAATATTATTTCAATTTAAAATGTAAAATAACTGTTTTCTGTTTTTCTGTTTTAATACATTTTCAATTGTAATTTATTCCTGCAATGTCAATGCTGAATTTTAGCAGGATTTTTAGTGATACTTTTTAAAAATTATTTATTTGATATAGAATCTTTACTGTCACTTTTGATCAATTAAATGCATCCTCACTGATAGCAGTATTAATTTCTTAAAAAAAAAAAAAATCTTACTGACTACAAACTTTTACCCAGTATAACATCCTATTTACATGCATCCACTGATTTCTAATGCACTGTAGGTAATTTTGTACATTTGTACTATGTCAAAGTTTATTTGAAAGAATCTCAGAATTCATGGCATGACAGGAATGGGCTCTTTTGAGAATCACTGAGCTGAAACGCCAATTTTGGGGTCCTCATGCATTGTCAGTACAGTAGCGAGATCGTACTCGGCCTGGTAAGAGTATTGGCCGTACCAGTAATGACAGTCTGGTAGAGGAGAGCTGTAGTAGACGTGCTCAGCAGAGCCTTGCTGGTGAAGGGCCATGTCTCTGGACGAAGGGCCCGAGCTGTAACCTGACAGTGAGCTCAATCGCTGCAGTATAGCTGGGTTAAACTGATAGGTGAGCTTGCGACGCACTTTCACAATCTCACCCGTGCGGCTGTAGTTGCGGAGAGCGCGTGCCATTTTCTGGTAGGTCATGGTCTTGCGGTTGCCCTTGCGCTGACCCCAGCATTCGGCCAGTTTTTCTTTATTTTTCGAGATGAAGTGGAAGATGCCGCTCCCTCGGTCCGTCCATTGGATGGAGTCGCCCATGTTGTCGTCGTGAAGAGCCTCGTGCAAATATTCATATAAGCGTAACTTCTTACGACCTAATGAGGAAGAGGAATACATGATGCATTCAGCACTTCTGTATTATGAAGAACTCAACTTTGTTGAAAACTGTGAACCGTGAAAAAGCTGAACAGTCAGTTTTAGGAGTATGTTAATGTCTACTCTACTTGAATGAATTAGGTTATTATTTCTGAAAAAAAGTGATTTGCTTATGCAGTACAGTTATTACTAAATGCACTTAGAGAGAAAAATCCAAAACATCCTTTTAACGTTAGCACATACTATCCCACATATTGAATCATTAAATTTTCAAGCACACAGAAACCTAATAATGTTGTACCTTTTCCGTGGCGCTGTGGTAAATTCGAGTAAAACACTGAAGGCTCAGCAGAACACAATGGCCCTAGAGACACATCTGGCACAATGTGAGACCATGACTGCAGATACAGAGAGACAAAACATGAGTAAAATATCACGGTATAACCATTGAAACAATTCAAGTGACAAATGAAATGAGTTGTAAACCTACTGAGGATTCATTCCAGTCATACATCGGTCCTGGAGGCTCAAAATGAGGTGTGAACTGATAGTATGAGATGGCATGTCTCACAGAGGACTGTTGACTTTCCAGATTCTCATAGTATTTATTTTCTGAAAGAGACAATTAGAAGAGAATGAATAATAATAAGGATGATCATTTATACTTAATACTACTGCAGAATATATTAAATTTTTTTCTACATTCATATTAATATTATATATTATGGTACCATTGTCACAGTGTCGTATCTGAGAGTGACGCTGAATTACATCAATGGCATCCTGAAAATCTTGATTGATGTCATTTTCAAGAGATCCCTGCAAGAAAGCAAGAAGAAAAAAATAGGCATGAATCTGAATTTTGTACATATTTGTGAAATAATGACTGTATTAGAGCTGTCTTGTTTCTCATCAAAATCTTATAAATGTAGAAAGTTTATTAAATATGTGCCTGTGGTTTCTAATAAATAAATAATAAAATAAACCATTCATATAATATAATATACATTTCTGAAACAATTAATGGTTTATCAAGTTTCAAATAATCAAGCAAATAAATACTACATAAAACAATGCATGCTACATGTACATGCTTGAGTCAAAAAAAAACTCACCATTCTGGCCTTGGAAAACCTAATTCTGCATTTATGTAGAGCTCAACTGTGTTCAACTGGAAATGTCCTCTATGTCTCAGTGATTATATGTGGACAGATATATTGTAGAACGACTACTGTTTTACTGGCCAACTTAGCAATGCGGCCTGTTATATACATGGGTCCATTTAAATGTGCCACGTCAACATAACATGGAGCTGTCAGTGATACTCTACTTCTCTTTTTGGAAATGAAGACCAGGTAGGACTCATAGTCCCTCTATTCTATAATCTCCATATCTCCATCCATGAAAAAAGATA